TCTTTAAATTATGTTAATACTATTTTTCAAAATAAGAGTCATTTTGCCTAATTTTACATGAAAAGCAGTTTTAAAAACAAGATTTTCACAAAACCCGCTCAAAATGTTTTCTGGGACAGTGCAAAGTACGCTTATAAAAATGGCGAAAATCCAATTTTCGTTGGCGTTGCTGAATGATATAAAATGGTAAAACTTACAAATAATCTGAAGGGTGTGTGCTCTTGTATCATCCATGTGACCCTGATTGTCTCCTCTAATGTGAACAATAAAAAGATAAAACTGGAAATTCGGATTGTGGAAGATATTCCAACTTGTAGCAGTGAGGCGTGGCTACCTGGCGCATATATTGAAACATTATTGAAAATCAAATTCAAACATAAATGGAACTGCGAAATAATGCGGTGTGCCATTCAACAAATTTGGTGAGAGCAGAGTGGTATTCTATTAATCAACACGTCCATTATAATGTTTAGTAGGGAGTCTTTCTGGAAAATGCTTTAAACACACGAAACGTTAAATATGTTTTTGCCATTTACGTTTTAAAAAAATACAATAAGTAATGTAACGCTGTGCAAAAAGGCAATTACATGTTTTTAATTTATTAATTAGCTTTAAACACTATTCACTTTGCAACTGTGAGAAAATTCGGCGACGTCGCAGACCCACACAGATCATTAATTTCGTCAGTCAGGTCTCAGATGGCTGGTCGTCTGAAAATCTCGAGAAGTGTTGGCAATCACAAGTCAAGGTCAAGTTAAGGTAAACGTTCTTCACTACGAAAAGGGTTTAACGACTGTTGGCAAAGTGACCGGTACCAGATAGTTCTCTTCAACATAAGATACTCTCCCAGTCAAAAGCAATCAACCATCGCTAACCTATTAATGTGACGGACATGAGACCCATAGAAACCACATGGTTTTATCTCAACATGAAATTTACTAACCTGTTTTACCGCAAAAAACCAATGGAATTTTGAGAACAGTCATCTCAAACTTTACTTCATCATAAGAAGGAAAGGGTGTTTCCATATTGCACTCTAACTATCTGTAGATGAGAGGTTTCCGATAAAATCATGGAATATTAAAATAACCTGGAATCACTTGTGAATGAGGACATTCCTACTCTCATCAAATTAAAGCCTTCCATATACTAGTATTTACTAATCTACCCACCATTCTAATACAAAAATGATATTTTTATTGTATTCAATCTCACATGATGTTGGTGAACCTCTACAGATAACTTACTTATTCGAGGTAATCTATATATTTAAAATTCTACGTGTTTTGATTCAGAATGCAATTTGAGCATTCTACTCAACAAAATTTGATTTTCTTCTCGTGTTAATTTTATTTCTGAGTTCCAATAGAGCTGACAAAAGCAGTCAATATTTCATAGCAAGTTTTTGAAGTTCCAAAATGAATAAGCGATTTAAAATGCCAAGTTTACTGTGCACATTTGAATGGAATGTACATCAATCTTCTGACTTGTGTTTACACAAAAAATTTTCTGTGATTATAATTTTATGCTTGATACATCACATTTTTAACAGTAGATAGCAATATTTTCGGCTATAAACAAACCACATAGTACGCATGTAGATCTTGGTAAATATAAAGCATGTCAATTACATTTTCAGAAAACATGTGTTAGTGACATTAGTAGTGATTATCTTGTTCCAGAAATTGTAATCCCTTTAATCCATTAGTTTTAGAAAATCTCTCTGAAAAACTTGCTACAATATTTTTCGAGTTTTCGATTTTCTCTATCGGGTGAATATAGTGCTTTTCTGTAGTTTTCTACAGGTTTTTCTTTTGTGTGATGTAATTGCACGGGTTCAGAATCTGTCTTATTCTTTTCTTATCACGTCGCCATTTCTAAACCACCGTTTCTACAACGCTTACATAACTCGTGCCAAACAATACAGAGCCTGTACAATCAATCTACTAGTACTACCAATTTACATTTACCTTTGTTATCTCCCTAGTTTTGAAATAATGATTGATAATTCAGTTGATTGACGCCTACTCTTTGGCTTTGCTTCTCTAAGTCTCGAAAGGTAAAACGACTAAACCTTTTGAAGAATTTGAATCTACAACCCTATTCAAGAGCAATGGCTGCAATTGCCGACATAGTCGTCTGCTCTGAGCATGTCGACAATCACTATTTACCACCACATTTAACAAAACTGTACGAATTACAACAAACGTTGCTAGCCCTACCATCTCTTTTAAAGGCGAGAGATCGTTCCAAACGCGAAATTGCGACTATTTTGTTGCAGTCGGGTGGAATTGGATGGGACCTCTTCTAATCCTCTTCCTCGAAGCGAACCGTCGCTCGCGAGCGCCCCATGCACAGCACGGAACGGCTCCATCACACCTAATGCCACCGATTAGAATACGGGCGACGTGTGAGCGGTCGCGAGCGGCCCAGCGGGAGAGAATGGAGGTTGATGTTGCTCAATGACGAGATCTGATTATGCCCTCGGCCGTGACGATCTAACGTGGGCTCGAAGGGCGTCGGCCAGCGTTTCAAGTTTTCGCGGCCCGTAGCATTCTGCGCGTTGATTCAGTTCAAAACAATACTGTAATAATATGGTAAAGGAAATAATCTCCACAAAAGTTTTAATAATTTTTATGAATAATTTTCCATAGTTAACTTTGAGTTAACTTACAGTGAATTTAGTGGAAAAATAAACAAATAAAATCATATAAATACAAATAGAAAGTTAATTGCTTGGGCAGTAATTACTTTCTATTTGTATTTATATGTTTTATATTATTTGTTTGTTTTTCCACTAAATTCACTGTACACCCCCTTTTTTGTGTTCAACTTGTGTTAATGTTTTAATTTCTCCATTTTGTTAGAAATTACTGAGGATGGGAAAAGTGTTTTTACGAAAGTTAACTCTGGAAAATTATTAATAAAAAATAATTAAAACTTTTGTGGAGATTATTTCCTTTGCCATATTATGAATTACCACAAGATATCTGCTACCACCACGGAATTTAATACTGTAATAAGGCGTAACGCACTCTTTCTCTTACATCTCGGATCTCAAAAGAAATTAACTTTTAATTCATGGCGTAATCCTTCGAAGTATCGTGCTAATGATATGCTGAGTGCTCTTAGAGCTGATAAAAACAATCAAGTTTGAAGATTTTGTTGCCGGAACTGTCGTGTGGGCTAACTTTCAATGTATGTTACGTAACAAGCAATTTATCGTAAAGCATGGGGTTCTCGACGCCAGTTCTCCGTGAGTTATCATTAAAGAGGACACATGTGTTTTCACCGAAACAACATACTGCAACCTTTATGGAATTAGAGGGACCTCTTTTATAAAAACTACTTTCAAGGGGAAAAGGACACAAACATTCTAATACATATAAAAGAAAATAATCACTTAATCGAGCTGATAAACCATTGCCACTATTGGTATTGTGGGCAGTTTTCGTTGGCATTTACAATGAAATAATTTCATGAGTCGTCATTGCCAACAACAATGGGAATGATTCATATAATTGTTTCGTTACCACTACACTTATGTGTACGCTGATTCATGCAGTCTTCAGTCAACTGTCTCGGAAACTAGTTTGTGATTACCACTTATGGTATTATTCAAATTGCCTAGCGTTACCTATGGAAATGCATACGTCCATAGGTTGTTTAGGGATTGAATATTATATGTGAGAAATAGACATCTTTATGTATGAATGGAATGCCTGCAAAATTAGAGAAGACGAATGCCTGATCTGACCTTAAGATACAAATTACTGATGTAAGAATTTAAGCACATCAACTGAATAAAGTAGAAGCATCAGTACAGATAAATCTATTTTACTTGAATTTAGAATAACTCTTTGAAATTAGGATTTCTAATTGAGATTATCAATATAAAAATGATTCTTTAGTCACTTCTACAAAATAATATTTTTGTTAAAGCCGAGTATACGTATCCACGTACTCAGGTGATGTTAAAGCAAAATATATAATTTGAAATTCATAAATGCTTCTGTAATCAGAACTTGTTATTAAATTTAAAATATACTCTCGTATGGGTAAAATAATATGAATAGTATTATTTACATTATATTAATTACCGAGGTTCACCGAAATTTTCAAAATTTTGACACATAATTTTCCCACCAAACACACAAATACTCAGACATACAATAATTCCACATTAGACTGCTTCGATCCTTTTACTGACAGACATTGACTCCTAAAATAATGCATAAACTAATATTCATGAACCATTTAATCGTTAAGATTTTGTCTTGAAAACTACTCAATGAATTATAACACCTGAAGCTGCTTCAACTGTCGCATAAGATTCAATTCCCCCTATTCCCTGAGAGCTGGCACATTTGCATTTAAATGTTTGCTCTATTGATTGATGTTACAGGGAACGTCAACTCCTATTATGGTTAGTTCCGTTAATTATGTGAATGCTTTATTCCGAGAGTTGGCGGTGTTTCTTCGCTAGATCCAGCGCTGACCTACACTCGGCTTGCGGGAGTTGAGTTCTCATGAGATTCGGATTTACAGAAGCGATAACATAAAAGTTCATCTCCAGTTTTTAGTACATTACAGCCATTAAATTAAATAATAAATATATGTGTAGTGTGTTGGTGTGTGTGTGTGTGTGTACGCAGGTATTTGGCATTTTAGGGTCGGATTTATCGGACTTTTCCCAGCAAGCGTTGTTTTCAGGCCTGGGTTCTGCTTTTTTGCTTTATTATCCATGCCTGGGGCAAGACATGTGTCGAAAATGCTGTATTCCCATCACCATAAAATATGTAATAGCGGACGCAGCTGTAACATTCCATAATTTATAATAAGGAAAAAAATCCATATATTAAACCACGCGTGCGTCTATCAGTGCGAAGCGATGCACCTCGAGCAGGCCCCGTCCGCGGCGTGTCCCTTGACCCCTGCGGGCGCGGCGGGCCGAACCGGGCCGGGCCCCTGGCACGTGACCCCTGGCGCGAGCGGGAGGGCGGCGAGCTGTCTTTGTGGCGTCGTTATAACCCGCGCGGCCGCCCCTCGCCCGCCAGTCGTCCGCGGGCGCAATGGCCGCATCCGGTCGCTCCGCCTCCGCCAGGGCGCTGCCTCTGCCACCGCTCGCGCCGCTGGTGCTGTTGGTGCTGTTGGCGGCGCTGGTGGCGGCGTCGACCGCCGGCGCCGGCGCGGCCGGGGAGGCGCGTGGCTGCGCGTGCGCCAACGGCACGCTCGACTGCGCCGGGCGCCAGCTGCGCTCCTTCGGCGACGCGCCCTTCCCCGAGGGCTGCGACGAGCAGATCACCAAGGTGACCGGCGCGGGGGCTTGCGCGGGCCAGTGGTTGGTGACAAGAGTGAGTGGAACGGGAGGGATCCATGGTGCAGTGCTCAGGCCGCTCGTTTTCTGTAGTTTCTCTAAGAAAGGATCTCTTTGAGAAATCCGGTAACAAATGAACGCCGTGAAAAAGGTTCTTCCATGGCATTGCAAGTGAGAGTGTTGAAGCCATTTACAAATGAGCTAAATGTATACGTACTGACAAAATGAGTGCATGAACGTAACTTGCAGTTATATTGGCAGCAGTGGCCAAGCGGTAGCTGTCAATGCGGTGCCTTCTTATAGTAATATCTCTATCTCGGGTTCGGTGGAAGAAGTTTGCTCGGGGTTTCTTCCGTTATCTATGTTTCTCATTCCACGATTGATCCACCATTTGAACCATGTCTTCATTATCCATCGCCCTTCTATCAACCCATTCATCGCAGGTACGGCAGACTAACTCTACAAACTGGAGAACATATAAACATTATAAATGTTAAAATACGTGGCGTCCTTCACGGGGGGCTGCAACGAGTAGACAACCAAGGTGACGTGGGGTCTTACACGGACGAGTGACACACCGCTCGTTTTCTGCCGTTATGAGAGACGAAGTTCGAATCTCGGACGACCCATGTGGAAATTGTGATGGTTCTCTAGGGGTTCTCCCGTTTCCTATGTTTGTCATTCCACCACTGCTCCATCATTTGAATCATGTCAAATTTATTATACATCCCCCTTCTATCAATACATTCATCGCAGATTCGGCAAAATAGTTCAATCTACTGGAGAACATAATAACATTGTAAATATTAAAATACGACGCGTTCTTCCGATTGGGCAAATACGAGAAAACTGGGGTGAAATTGGTTCTTCCAGGGACAAGTGACAAAACGAGCGAATAGAAGATGGCGTCCATTGTGTAGAGTCAGATCTCACGCTTTTCACTGCTAGCATTGAGGTTGGGGAATCCCTATGGAATTTGTGCCTTGTCAAAGAGGATGGTAGAGAGGGGAACGTATTGTGGTCAGGCCTGCCACCACTTATTAGCGACGTTTAGATCCCGGTCAATCCACGTGGAAATAGTTGGAGAGGAAGTGTGTTCGCGATTTTCTAGAAGTTCTTGAATTGAATTGGTACCTTGTTTTACGTGGCGAAGCTCAGGCCATGAGGCCTGCTCTTCCGTCTGACCACGCAAATTTCCCTACGCTCCTTTCACAAACTAGCGGAATCAGAAGGTATTTCTTGAGCGACTAAACAGGCGATTTGAATTTATCTCAGAGGCTTCATTTAGGCTTGAGGATCTTTTACATGCAGTAAATCTACTAACATGGAATAGCCGGCTTTACTTCCCCTCCGAAGGAAGGCCTACGATTTCTGACATTTCCCCTGTCTCTTATTCCATCATTGCTCTATCATTTTTCGAATCCTTTCATCTTTATTATCCATTACCTTTCTATCAAACCATTGTTCGTAGGTATGATCGAAAACTTTCAACTGCTGGTAAACATGTCAATATTATCAATATTAAAATACGAAGCGTCCTTTGTGAAGGAGATGTAACCAAGGTGAGGGAAGAGAAGATTCATATTCTGTTGCAATGCGAGTGAATGGGAGTGGGGATCTGTGGTGCTGCGCTCAGATCTCTCGCCTTCTGCCGCTGGGGACGAGATGCATATGCCGGTCAATACGTCAGGACCTTCAGGTGGACAAAGCGGGTTCGTGGCCGACGTAATCGGTGCCCCTCCCCGTTTCCCATGGTTGTCACCTCACCATTGGCCCATCTCCATTACAACATCCATTAAATCACATGTCCACTTCAGATATGGTCACAAGGTGGCACTGGTAACATACCAAAGGATACGAGTTACATGGAAACGCTTGTGTTTTTATTGGATTAGTGAAAGGACAGTCGTTCTAGTAGTGAGACCTCATTTCTGCCACCTTTTTGGGGCGGAGATATCGGGTTCGCGTTTTCTAGAGGGTTTTGAGTTTCACCATTTGAATCGTTTCATCAACATTACCCGTCGCCCATCCTTGAAACCCATTAACCGTAGGGGTGGCCAAACGAGCTGAGGTACTGAGGAACACAAAAAAACTGCAATACGAGAAGCACTTCGTAGATGGCGGCGACGAGGAACTAAGGAAGGTGAAGCTGGCGGAAAATCCCCTTCCATTGACAACGCGAGTGATGTTAGAGGGAGGGGGCGACTCGTAATGGGCAAATGATTGTTGCGGAGAGGGGTGAGGGCTTTGTAGAGGTTAGAGCGCTCATCTGCTAACCTGAGTGGAGGGATTTAAATCCCTGTCAATCTATGAGAGAATTGTGAGTGAACGTAGCAAGTTTTTTAATTTTCTCGTATTTCTCTAGTGCTGCATAATACCACAATATCATGACCATCAATCAAAATTATTTGCAATCAAAATTATTCGCAATCAAAATTATTCGTTTTCTTCCTTCTGATGTGAATTCGTTCTCTTCTGATGTGGTCAGAAGGCATAGGTACTAGAAATGGGCGATTTAATCGCGATTAGTACGACAATTGATTATTTTATACGGTTAATCGTAAAATTGAAATCAATTGTTTTTATACTGATTAATGAACACATCGATTATTTTTCCCGATGTTTAGCTCGATTATTTTAATTAATTTATTATATTAGACGAGAAAAATATGAAAGTACATCTCTACTTTTGAACTTTAGCAACGAAAATTCCTCGTCCTTACACATTCATGTATGTACTTTACATTTCTATTCGATATTGTTCATTTGAAGATCTGTTATTGAGATTTATATTACAATAGAAGAAAATAAAAGAATTGAGATTTGTTCGATGAAGTAGTTGCAAAAACCATGTGTATTACATTCTTCTGTATTTAATTTAAAATCATTGATATAATTTTAGTTGATGAACAAGCTGTTTCTGACATCATTAAAACGACTAAATTTAACATAAGTACAAAGTGTAACAAAACAAAAAAATAAGAATGTTTCGCATTATAGTGATAGGTTTTCTTAAAATAAGTTACCAAACGATTGATTATTTTAGAAATTAAAAATTAACGAGTTTACGCATTATTTAAAGCATGTGAAAAATTAATCGAATATATAAGATTAATCGATTTATTCACAACAATTAATCGATGCATATTAAACTAATAAAAGATCAATTAATTATTAATCGATTATTATTTAATAACTGCACATCCTTAATAAGCACAGGTATTATAATAATAAATAATTAGTATTATAATAAGAGTGAAGCCAATCCTTACAGAATTGTGTGATAATCTCTTTTCTTTTCCTGCAAACATGAATGAATTCGAAATGTGTCAAACTAAAGCGCTCTGGAAGTTTTTGCAGGGACATAAAATCCACCTAGTATGCGAGGAGTCAGTGAAAAATAGTTGTAAGTCACAATTTTGAGCTTTCCGAGTTCAGAGCTCTCTGCAAGCGGCTTTCTCGTTCAGTATTGAAGGTTTCGATTTTCATATTAAATAAAAGGAATACGCCCGACTGTTTTCCTTCCACGCGAATTGATTTAAATGTGTCCGCTTAACGTTTAATGGTCGGAATCTCGAAAGTTCATTAAAGTGCAACGATGATCTCCCACTATCCCCTTTAAACTGCAGGAATGTAAAATTTAAGACTTGGATGAACTCAAAATAATTTCATTATTTTTTTCATTGATTAACTCTAATTATATATAGAAAACAGCATTTTTTCTGTTTCACAAATACTTGCGTTAAAGAAAGATAATTTAGACCATGAAAAGGCAATGACATAAATTTGAATCCTTATGTATGTATATATGTACTTCGCGCAATAGCCCGTGAAGGTGCTCAGGCCTACCGGCGACGTCCCTGCCTCGCGGCAATGGGTTAAGGGGATACGTGTGATTAGCACGAAGACATCCCCACGCCGTATTCCAGTCTTCTCAACCTGAGAAGTGAATTTTTTCATCGTCACACAGCAGCTTATACGCGGACATTGCCAGGAAAACGTACATTATAGTCTTGTCTCGACTGGTAATCGAACCTGGGGCCATGTAGTGGAAAGCGAGCACACTGACCAAGAGCTAGACACAAACCTACAATCCTTATGGCTATAACTCAGTTTTAATATATTTATAAATTTTTCATGAATTTTAATGTAGATATTTGCGTTAAACGCGATCTTTCTCTTTCTATTGTAACTCGTGAATCATAGAAACGCTCATTGTATAATTTTCAATTTTATTTCATAAGTCGTGATCGTAAATACTCGAAAATCTCATATTTTCCTGTACTATCGATAGATTATCTGTACATTTCATTCCATCATTTCTCTCTGTCTCTGTCTTCTCTTTCTAATAGCACATGTTTGTTTCCCTTGAGTGAAAACGAAACAGAAAATAGTTATTTTATACCTGGCAGTCCAGGACTAATTTGATGACTGCTCATTGTTTCATAATCTCAAGTTTCATGGTTCTCATTAGCAACTGACAATATGGAAACCCAACAGAAACTATTTATGGGGAAAATTGAATATTTCAAACAATGGAACCTATAAAATTCTTTGTTAGAACACACGTAAATAGAAAGTTGATTTCGGGTGGCTGTCCAACATTATCAAATCTTGAGACATGAATAGGATACACAGAATTAACAATATTTCTAAAAATGAAGCTTTCATATTCTTCTATTTCTGTATATTTTGGAGTTCAAAATTTCCTTTAATAATGCAGTGAAGTAACTTGAAAATCGCGCACTTCATTCATAGTTGATGTAGAAGAGAAAAACATAAAACCTCGTGTGAAAGTGAAATTTTCGGCCAACTTTCGCTTCAATGATTTGGGCCTCTTTGATATCAAATGTAAAATTATTTAATGACGTGTGTTGATATTGGTGGTCGCTTACAATATCAGTACATTTCAGCCAACAAAAAGGGGGAATGATGACATTATTTAGTACAGTTCTACTTAAATCACGTAGTCGGCAAAAGGGAAGTTCAAAGGATAACTATTAAACTTCATCTTAGAAACAGAATAAATACTGTGTAAAACATTCACCTAAATGTGTGTCACTAATGCAATTGTTACATCTTTAAAAATGAAAATTTCGCTTGAATTCCAGTATTTTTCATAAATATTAATATAAATACGATAATTAGTACTTCCCACCTCATAGTGTGATACTGCATATAATAAAAAAAATTATCTGAAATTCTGACACTAAGTGCACTGCTGCAATATATTATTGATACATTAAGATCTTTGGTCTTGATCTAGTTATAAATTCACTGCAAGTGTTCTGTATTTAATTTCTATTAATAACGTAACGTGGAGCAAAAATTGATTAATAATAATGAAATAATAAATTTTATTTTTACTTTTAGTGATGGCGGCAGAAATTTGCATTTCCTGTAAAAATAGCTATATAGTCATTTATTTTAGAAAAGAACTGATAATCGCATTTCAAATAAAACGTGAAAGTGATCCACCTAGAAACGTAGGGGGTGTGGTATCTTCAGACAGTGAACAGTTCTCAATATATATTTTAAATGTTAATCTTTGATAATTTTACGTAAATCGATGTACACGTGACTCAGAATAAATGTTACAAACTTCTAGGGCATGCAGGTAGTTCTAAGATATATTTTGGGGTGATAAACCTCTTGTGAAGAAACTGAAGAAAGTTACACATGTGTCTTTGTCACTGATTCAGAGATAATTTATCGACCACCGGTGCATGACAGGTACACAAACTCTCACTGACAGCGTCAGAACGTGTCATACATCGATGATTGACCAGTTTCCTACCAATAAGGGAAAAATTTACCATCCTTTTTAAATAAAAAAATTAATTAAATTTAAAAAAATTCAATTAATATATTTCTTGCAATTTTTACTTGTTGCGCCGCCACTAGAAAAGTGTTGAAACTCGAAAAATATATTTCACGAAAGGGATTTAAAGGTTTAAAACTATATTATCAAATAAGGTTCATAAAGTACAAACATCGCCATTAACTTACAGGATGGATCCAAAAGAAAATGGCGCTATTCTAGGACAAAAAAAGCATATAATTTTGCCTTAATTAACATATGTAACTCAAAATTCAATTTTTTTGACTTACGACCATTTTATACTGGGGGTGTGATGTGTATATTTGTTACATAATCTTTCCTATTATGGCAAACAATTGTCATCTTTAACAACCTATACGTCCTAGAAGTTAGTAACATTTATTCCGCGCCATCTTGAATTCAGAGAAAGTTATGTCCAGAGCTTGACGAGCGCGGTGTGTGTCGCAGGTGAACCTGCAGCGCAACAACCTGACATCCCTGAGCGGCCGTCTCAACGCGTCGGTGCTGGAGGTGGTGCTGTCGCAGAACCAGCTGTCGCGCCTGCCGCCGGCGTCGCGCCTGAGCGCGGGGCTGCGGGCGCTCGACGTGTCGCGCAACCGCATCGAGGGCGGCGGCGGCGGCGCGGACGCCAGCTGGGGCGAGGGCTGGGGCGAGGCCGGGGGCGAGGGCGGGGCGCTGCTCGGCAGCGACGGGGACGCCGACGACTGGGTGGAGGGCCGGCGCGGGGACGCTGGACCGGGAGGAGGGGCGGAGGGGAAGTGGCTGGAGTCGCTGGAGGAGCTGCGCGCGCAGGGCAACCTGCTGGCGTCGCTGGGCTTCGTGCCCGAGCCGTGCGCGCTGCGCGTGCTGGACGCGTCCGCCAACGCGCTGGAGCAGCTGGAGCTGGCGCTGGAGCCCCTGCAGCGCTGCTCCGCCCTGCGGCACCTCGACCTCTCGCGCAACGACCTCGCGCCGCTGCCCGACGCCGCCCTCCAGGTGAGACCCAACTCCACACATGGAGTCATTTGATTGATACTTGTTTCCGCGACCGGAGTCATTTGATTGATACTTGCTTCCGCGACCGGAGTCATTTCATTGACACTTGCTTCCGCGACCGGAGTCAGTTGATTGACACTTGCTTCCGCGACCGGACTCATTTGATTGACACTTGCTTCCGCGACCGGAGTCAGTTGATTGATACTTGCTTCCGCGACCGGAGTCATTTGATTGAGACTTGCTTCCGCGACCGGAGTCAGTTGATTGACACTTGCTTCCGCGACCGGAGTCAGTTGATTGATACTTGCTTCCGCGACCGGAGACATTTGATTGATACTTGCTTCCACGAGCGGAGTCATTTGATTGATACTTGCTTCCGCGACCGGAGTCATTTGATTGACACCTGGCTGTCCGGGATGAGCCGCTTCTTAGTCAGATGAGCTGATGTTGTGGCCTTCTTCTTGAGCAGTATATCTCTGAAGACCACAACATGGAGGCCAAAACGTTCCTTCGATCAACAGCTCATTCTGGACAACCAAGTAGCAAACAACTCCACACATTCCAACATCTCCTGCGTCTCCTACCACATTGTTTTGGATTGATAAGCTGATTTGTGTTTTCGGGCGCGTCAACTTCTAGGGTCATTAGTTCCGTAAGTGTAAGTGTGTTTAAGTGTGTCTGCAGCCTGTTTATTAGGGATCTACGTCGGCATTCGCCTGATGTTGATCGGAGAAATCACGGAAAATTACCGATCAGCCGGCCGTAAGAATTTTCCTTTCGGCAGCGATTCGACCCAGCTATCCAGCAAGTGTCGAAAATTCAGCCACCATCGGGACTCGATCTCTTCGACCATCGACCATATATTATCCCTCCTAACTTAGTTTGGCGTCCGTAAAGTGTTAAATAATTTTAATTTTTTTCACATTGATTAATTTTAGTTGTTTTACGTTCTCGCAGAGAAACTTATGCATAATGCTGCGCTAAAACGGCGAATGTTCGGCAAAAAATCTTATTACAGGATCCTGATAAGGAAAAAGTCCAGTTCCTAAATTAAGAAAAAAAATCCTTTGATACGTGGTGTACCCACAAACCATGTTTGGTGGATTCTTGATACCGAAAAACAGCAAAACGTCTGTCTGACCGTCAGTGAACAACGCTAACGGCTAAACCGTTCAGCCGATTTTCTCCAAAAATTATATTCCCCAATAGATCTGGCTGATGTTGCGGCCCCTTGAATTTGAAATTGATACAATAATTTTGTGAGGGTACTTAACATGACGCCCCAGGGACATTTTCAAAAAAATTGCTCCAATGTTTTTGATTAAATTAGGTTTTTTGGGTAGTATGATACACGTTTAAGGGACTGGTACAGGTCTGATGTTAGTTTAATCTCTGATTTTTCGAAAACTGAAAAGGTCAAAATTTTTTCGGTTTTCCTGCAACTGAAATATTAAAGATAAAGATTTTACCTTAACGGAATATGTTCCTTAAATATATATTTTGAAATAAGGTTTGGTACAAGTTTTCGAAAACGTTAGTACCATTCGCGTAATTTTAAATGAAAGTACGTGCGAAAAAGTATGTTGCTGTTGGTGCACCACTAGTTTTAATGGGTCAAGTAAAACAATAAAATGATCAGTTCCCTATCGGCAGACGGAGACAGGTCGACTGCGAAGTTTTCCTTGCTCGTAAGTGGGGACCGGAAGATCTCCCGCGAATGAAGGATGGATGAACACGCGAAGGTTATCCTATTAATATATGTAGAATTCATTAATACTTCTAAGATAATATGATCGTTTTGTACCATATATAAGTAACTACATAAAACCCCTTGAGGTAGCTGGAGTAACCACCCTTCAGACGCATCAAGTACATTTATGATAGAGAATATAATAGAGATTTATGATAGAGAGATTACTCACAAAAGAATACTAAAACAATTATTGAAATGTTAGAAATGTTCACACGGCTCCGTATAGTTATACATATATCCCAGGTATAATTCCAAGACACTGATTTACTACTTATAACTGCTTTATATTTAATTTCAATACCTCAAAGTAATTAAATTGCATAGTATTAATAAAAAAGACTAGTATTTACTTGTTTTTTGAATTTTTGTCAGTACTCATTTAGGTTTTCTTCTTTTACGGTACGGACTGCCTTATAGGAGTTCTCGAATATTGCCCGGATCCCATCTAGCGGCTCTAGAAGAATCGAGGGGGACGATTGAGTAAAGCATAGCCCAGGGCACATCATCCCACACAATGGCAAGAAATGTTTCTCGGCATTAAACTGCTATGGTCATTAGTTCTGATTGTGTAGTAAGATGTGTTATTTCGGGGAAGGGCGGTGTTTCTTCCCCTCTGGACGGTGAGATCCGTCGCCGACCTACCACTACAGCTTGAGGATATTCCCTCGTCCGAGATTACCCGAGCGGGGCACAGCCAGGACAAGCTCGAAGTTCCTGACTAGTTTTCACGACATGTGTTATGAGGTACATGTAAGTGAGTGAGTGTGTGTGTGTGTGTGTTAAGGGGAGAGAATAACACAAAAGAGAAAAGATAGTCAGCGATTCTCCTGGTGCTGATCGAAAAATCACGTAAAATTACGAACCAAGCTTCTCTTCAGGCCAGCTCCTTCGAGACTTCGAAGGCTTCTACACTTATACTTCTTGTGCATTCATACAATAATGAACGACGTATTTACATCGCATCTCATATAAATATAAACCACGGACAGTCCGCGATCTTGCCTTTCTCATTATTGTATTCACCTCACTTTTACTCACACACAAAGCACACACACACACACACACACACACACACACACACACACTACCATCCGGGCAAACCCCGCCCGGAGCTTACAGTTGTCCCGTCTAGAAATGTGCCCCGCTGGGAGGGGGAAATCCCATCACATCTCGCTATATAAGATATATTACACTTACGGGAATAATGACTTCAGTAATAATAGCGCCAGGAATCCATATTCAATAATTCTGTCATTAAATAAAATACAAATAAAAATAATGAAATAAAACGACTTTTTAAGTATTGGTGTTGTTTTTGAATTTCCAGAACCTCACCGAACTGCGAGTTCTGGACCTGTCCTTCAACAGAAAAATGGGCACGCTGACCAACCTGACGTTCGACGGCCTGAGCCAGCTGCGCAACCTGAGTCTGAACGCCATCGACCTGAAGGAGCTGCCGCCGGGCATGCTGGACGGCATGCCCGAGCTGGAGCACCTGGACCTGCGGCGCAACCAGCTGTCGTCCATCCCGAGCGCGCTGTTCGCGTGGACGCCCGCGCTGCGCGTGCTCAACCTGGGCATGAACCGGCTGACGCGCGTGCCGGCGGACGCCATCGCCAACTGCTCGGCGCTCGAGGTGCTGGACCTGGGCGGCAACCGCATCGAGGCACTGCCCGACGGATTGTGGTGAGGCCGTGGTGGAACGAAGACGCGGGATTCCGCAGCCCGTTTCTTTAGAATGTTGGCTGTGCGAGATTCAACAGCCTTTTTTGTTAGGTTGTTGGCTGTCCGGGATTCAGCAACCTTTTTCGTTAGGTTTTAGGCTGTGCGGTATTCAGCAGCCTGTTTCGTTAGATTGTTGGCTGTGCGGAATTTAGCAGCCTGTTTCGTTAGATTGTTGGCTGTGCGGGAGATGCCGCATATGCGGGACAATTGTTGACGGTCTGGTGATCATATTGCGACTCTGATGGTCGTTCTTAGGGACGAAATGCTTATTTCGTGCCCTCTCGAGTGGTGTCTTTAGGACAGCACATTAAGCTAAAGAACTCAGTATATCTTTCAAGGGGCAATTATCATAAGTAGAACCGACGTTATTAGTGTCAAAGGGGATTCAGTACGGAGGCACATGTACCCGCTGTCCGAGAGCGGTTTTGGAACATCGGTCTCACAAATTATTATTGGCGGGGAATTCGAAACCCCCGTGCAACTGTATTGTCTCGGGGATTCCCTCGCTGTTGAGGCTAGACGGCGCAGTGAAGAGACCGAGTTCCCCGTTGAGAGAGACTGTTGAGACCCCGGAACTGGAATTACCTGGTTGGAATTAACCCTTTTAAGTTGGCTTCCTTGTGACCTGAACTCTGAAATTTTAGTATTTTCAGAAGGGTTCGTTCCGATCATAGAGGTAGTAGTACACCTTTTCCATCGACCAACCTCAATGCAAGGCCTGGAATCCCAGTGCAATTGGGTTTTGATGGTTAGAGGGCGAACACAATTATAATATAACTGTAATACTAATGAATGGGTGAAAGTCAAAACAGTATAAGTGATATTTTATAAATTCAGAGAAATCTGTTTATCTATGTCAATATTAATGTAAAATTATAGAGCTTCGTTTCGTCGTTAAAACCACGACATTTCAACTGTTCATTAAAATCACGAAAATAGATTGCCACCGAAATATAGCCCCAAATAAACAGGTTTTTCTCAGAATTTATAAAATGACACAATTCCAATATTGACGAATGCTATAGGGAACGACAAGTCCCAGGTTTCCTTGCAGCACAGTTGTCGTTTGTGGAGTTGAAACAAACTTTCTTTTCTCAGAATTTATAAAATACCACAATTCCAATGTTGACAATTGCAATAGGAAACGACAAGCCCCGGTTTCCTTGTCGCAGGCTTGTCGTTTGTGGGGTTCAAATAAACTGTTTTTTCTCAGAATTTATAAAATGCCACAATTCCAATGTTAACAATTGCAACAGGGAACGGCAAGCCCTCGGTTTCCTTGTCGCAGGGTTGTCGCTTGTGGGGTTCAAATAAACTGTTTATTTTTCAGAATTTATAAAATGCCACAATTCCAATATTCACAATTGCAATACGGAACGGCCAGCTCCCGGTTTCCTTGCAGCAACGTTGTCGTTTGTGAGGTTCAAATAAACATTTTTTTCTCAGAATTTATAAAATACCACAATTACAGTGTTGACAATTGCAATAGCTTCCGCAAGAAGGGGAGCTTCGGGCAAACCACCGGTGCCCTTGTAGCAACCTTGTCGTTTGTGGGGTTGAAACAAACTGTTTTTCCTCATAATTTATAAAATGCCACAATTCCAATGTTGACAAATGCAATACGGAACGGCAGGCCCCGGTTTCCTTGTCGCAGCGTTGCCGTTTGTGGGGTTCAAATAAACTGTTGTTTTTTTTCTCAGACTTTATAAAATGCCACAATTCAAATTTTGACAATTGCAATAGGAAACGACAAGCCCCGGATTCCTTGTCGCAGCGCTGTCGGTAAAAATAAACTGTTTTTTCTCGGAATTTATAAAACGCCACACTTTCTATGTTGATAATTTTAATAGTGAACGGCAAGCCCTAGGTTTCCTTGCAACACAGTTGTCGTTTGTGAGGTTCAAATAAAATGTTGTTTTTTTTCAGAATTTATAAAACGCCACAATTGCAATGTTGACAATTGCGATTGGGAGCTAGAAGCCCCCGGTATCCTTGTCGCAGCGTTGTCGTTTGTGGGGTTGATAATTTGTTGATAATTTCAATAGGGAACGGCAAGCCCCCGGTTTCCTTGCAGCGTCTTTGTCGTGTGTGGGCAGGTGGGGCTTCCCGCGCCTGCGCGAGCTGTCGCTGCACGAGAACCGGCTGAAGCGCGTGCGCGCGGCGGCGCTGGGCGGGCTGGCGGCGCTGCAGCGGCTGGACGTGTCGTTGAACCGCGGGCTGCAGCTGGCGGCCGGCGCGCTCTCCGAGCTGGCGGCGCTGCGCGTGCTGCGCGCCGCGCACTGCGGCCTGGAGGCGGCGCCGTGGGGCGAGCTGCGCCTGCTCACCAACCTCACCACGCTCGAGCTGAGCGGCAACCGGCTGGCTTGGTGGGGCGAGATGGAGCGTGATGAGCGTGGAATGGGGCGTGATGGGGGCGTGATGGGGCCGTGATGGGGCCGTGATGGGCGTGATGGGAGCGTGATGGGCGTGTGGGGGAAATTGGAGCGTGATGGGGCGTGATGGGCGTAATGGGGCGTGATGGGGCGTGATGGGGCGGCGATGAGGCGTGATGGGGCGTGATGGGGCGGATGGGGCAGGATGAGTGAGGGCAGGATGAGTGATGGGCGGGATGGAGGGATGGGGCGGGATGGAGTGGCAAGGGGCGGGAAAGGGCCACAGGTCAGGGCGCGGCGGGACGAAGGCCGTGGGGGAGGCGGGGTGTGTCTCTGTCACAAGTGCGTGGCGTGTCAAATCGTGTGACGCCGGTTGACGGAGAGCGTGGGAACGACGTCAAAGGTGTGCCAGGCTGGGCATGGCGGGTGCGGTGGGGTCAGGTAGTGGGTCCTAGGGTGCGGGATGAGGCGAGGCGGGGGGGAGGTTGAGGCGACACATGGCAGACGTAGAGAGATGGAGACGGTCGGCGAGCGCAGTGGTCGAGCGTGGCGAGGCGTGGCGAGCGTGCGAGGCGGTGCGAGGCTGGCCGAGGCGCGCTGACGACGGCGCAGGGCGTGAGCGAAGTGGCGAGGCGTGGCGAGCCGCTGGCGATGCGCTGTGGCGAGGCGTGGCTGTATGTCGGTGAGAGGGCGTGCGTGGGCGGAGCTGGGACGAGATGCGTGGCGAGGGCGCTGGGCCGAGGCGTGAGGCTCGAGGCTGTGTGCGGAGGCGTGGCGTAGCGCGGGGCGGAGAGAGAGATAGAAGAGAGATAGACGAGAGATAGAAGTGTCACCGCTCGTGGAGATGTCTGGTGGCGAAGGACTCTAGTGGCGAGAGCGTGGCGAGGTGCGAAGGGTCTAAGCGCAAGACAGAGTGAAGAGAGGTGTGAGCGGGAGGAGAGCACGGCGAAGAGGGCGTCGTACTGAAGAAGGCGGGCGCGCAGGCGGATAAGGTTTGTTGGCGCCGCCCGTCGCAGGCGCACGTAGCAGGCATAGCGCAGCGGCAGCCAGCAGAGGCGGTCCGGGCAGCGCGCCAGGCCGGCGTCGCACAGGGACGCTAGCGAGCGCAGCGCGCGCAGGCCTCGAAAGGGCGGCGAACTGCGGCAGCGCGGCCGCAGCGGGGCTTGTTGCACAGCGTTAGGTGCTGCAGGCGCGCAGCAGCGGATGCCAGAAAGACGAGCGCGCGCCGGCAGGCCCGGAGCCAGCTCGGTTTGGCCGCTCAGCTCGAAAGCGTAGGGTGAGAGTCAGTTGAGCAGGCGCAGCTCGCCCCACGACGCCGCCTCCAGGCCGCACGTGCCGGCCGCCGCAGCCGCGCAGCGCGCGCAGCTCGAGGAGCCGCGCCGGCCGCCAGCATGAGCGCAACGGGTTTCAACTGACACGTCCAGCCGCTGCAGCGGCCGACCAGGCCCGCCCAGCGCCGCCGCCGGCGCACGCCGCTTCAGCGAGGCGTTCTCGTTGCAACAGCTACAGCTCGCGCAGGCGGCGGAGAATCCCACCTGCCCACACACGGACAAAAGACGCTGCAAGGAAACGCGGGGCAGCTTGCCGTTCTCCTATTGAAAATTATCAACAAAATTATCACCCCACAAACGAACAACGGGCTGCGACAAGGATACCGGGGCTTTCTAGCTCCAATCGGCAATTGTCAACATTGAAATTGTGGGCGTTTTATAAAATTCCTGAAAAAAAAAACAACATTTATTTGACCTCACAAAACGACTACTGTGTTGCAAGGAAACCTGGGGCTTGTCGCGTTCACTATTAATTATCAACATAGAAAGTGTGGCATTTATAAATCCGAGAAAAAACAGTTTATTTTTAACCGAAAAAAAAACGACAGCGCTGCGACAAGGAATCGCGGGTCTTGTCGTTTTCCTATGCAATTGTCAAAAATTGGAATTGTGGGCATTTTATAAAAGTCTGAGAAAAAACAGTTTATTTGAACTCCCACAACGGCACGCTTGCGACAAGGAAAACGGGGCTGCGTCCGTATTGCATTTGTCAACATTGGAAAGATTGTGGCATTTTTATAAAATTATGAGGAAAAACAGTTTGTTTCAACCCCACAAACGACAACGTTGCTACAAGGGCAACCGGTGGTTTTGCCCCGATGCTCCCCTTCTTGCGGAAGCTATTGCAATTGTCAACACTGTACATGTGTATTTTTATAATTCTTGAAAAAAAATGGTTTATTTGAACCTCAACAAACGGACAACGGGGTTGCTGGCAAGGAAACCGGGAGCTGGCCGTTTCCGTATTGCAATTGTGAATATTGAATTGTTGGCATTTTATAATTCTGAAAAATAAACAGTTTATTTGAACCCCACAAGGCGACCAACCCTGCGACAAGGAAACCGAGGGGCTTGCCGTTTACCCTGTTGCAATTGTTAACATTGGAATTGTGGCATTTGTATAAATTCTGAGAAAAAACAGTTTATTTGAACCCCACAAACGACAAGGCCGCTGCGACAAGGAAACCGGGCTTGTCGTTTCTATTGCAATTGTCAACATTGGAATTTGTGGGTATTTTATAAATTCTGAGAAGAAGAAAGTTTGTTTCACTCCAAAAACGACAACTGTGCTGCAAGGAAACCTGGGACTTGTCGTTCCTATAAGCATTCGCAATATTGGAATTGTGTCATTTTATAAATTCTGAGAAAAACCTGTTTATTGGGGCTTATTTTCGGTGGCAATCTATTTTCGTGATTTTAATGAACAGTTGAAAATGTCGTGGTTGTTAAGCGACGAAACGAAGCTCTACTAATTTTACATTAATATTGACATAGGATAAACAGATTTCCTCTGAATTTTAAAAATATCACTTCATACTGGTTTTGGACTTTCAAACCCATTCATTAGTATTACAGTTATATTATATTGTGTTTCGCCTCTACACCATCAAACCCAAATTGGCACTGGGATTCCAGGCCTTGCATGGAGGTTGGTCGATGGAAAAGGTTGTACCATACTACTCTATGAATCGAACGGAACCCTTCTGAAAATACTAAAATTCAGAGTTCAGGTCAACAAGGAGCCACTTAAAAGGGTTAATTTCCAACCAGGTAATCTCCAGTTCCGGGGTCTCAACAGTCTCTCTCACGGGGAACGTCGGTCTCTTCACTGCGCCGTCTAGCCTCAACAGCGAGGGAATCCCGAGACAATAACAGTTGCACGGGGTTTCGATTCCGCCAATAATATTTGTGAGACTCCGATGTTCACAAAAGCCGCTCCGGACAGCGGGTTATATCATTGCCTCCGTACTGAATCCCCCTTTGAGCACTAATGAAACGTCGCTGTTCTACTTATGATAATTGCCCTTGAAAGATATACTGAGTTCTTTAGCTTAATGGTGCTGTCCTAAGAACACCAACTCGAGAGAGAGACGAAAATAAGGCATTTCCCGTTCCCTAAGAACGACAATCAGAGTGCAATATGGATCCAACCAAGACCGTCAATCCATGTCCCGCATATGCGGCATCTCCCGCACAAGCCAACAATCTAACGAAACAGGCTGCTAAATTCGCACAGCCAACAATCTAACGAAACAGGCTGCTGAATACCGCACAGCTAAACTAACGAAAAAGGTTGCTGAATCCCGGACAGCCAACCCACCTAGTAACAAAAAAAGGCTGTTTGAATCTCGCACGAGCAACATTCTAAGAAAACGGGCTGCGGAAGTCCCGCGTCTCGTTTCCAACCACGCGCCTCACACATCCGTCGGGCAGTGCCTCGATGCCGGTGCCGCCCAGGTCCACCTCGAGCGCCGAGCAGTTGGCGATGGCGGTCGCGCCCGGCACGGTGCGCGTAGCCGGTTCATGCCCAGGTTTGAGCACGCGCAGCGCGGGCGTCACGCGAAGCAGCGCGCTCGGTGGACGACAGCTGGTTGGCGCCGCAGGTCCAGGTGCTCCAGCTCTGGCATGCCGTCCAGCATGCCGGCGGCACTCTCCAGGTCCCGATGGCGTCAGACTCAGGTGCGCAGCTGCTCAGGCCCGTCGAACCGTAAGTTTGGTCAGCGTGCCATTTTTCTGTTGAAGGACAGGTCCGAACTCGCAGTTCGGTGAGGTTCTGGAAATTCAAACAACAACACCAATACTTAAAAAGTCGTTTTATTCATTATTTTTATTTGTATTTTATTTTAATGACAGAATTTATTGAATATGGAATTCCTGGCGCTATATTACTGAAGTCATTATTCCGTAAGTGTAATAATAACTGTTATAATAAGCGAGATGTGATGGGATTTCCCCTCCCAGCGGGCACATTTCTATGACGGGAGCAAACTGTAAGCTCCGGGCGGGGTTTGCCCGGATGTAGTGTGTGGTGTGTGTGTGTGTGTGTGTGTGTGTGTGTGGTGCTTTGTGTGTGAGTAAAATGAGGTGAATACAATAATGAGAAAAGGCAAGATCCGCGGACTGTCGCGTGTTTATATTTATATGAGATGCGATGTAAATACGTCGTTCATTATTGTTATGAATGCAGCAAGAAGTATATAGTGTAGAAGCCTTCGAAGTCTCGAAGAGCTGGCCTGAAGAGAAGCTTTGGTTCGTAATTTTACGTGATTTTTCGATCAGCAACCAGGAGAATCGGGCTGATCTATCTTTTCTCCTTTTGTGTTATTCCTCTCCCCTACACACACACACACGACACTCAACTGCACTTACCATGTAACCTCATAACACATGTCCGTGAAACTAGTCATGGAACTTCGAGCTTGGTCCTGGCTGTGCCCCCCGCTCGGGTAGATCTCGGGACGAGGAATATCCTCAAGCTGTAGTGTAGTCGGCGACGGATCTCACCGTCCTAGGAGGGGAAGAAACACCCGCCCTTCAACCGAAATAACCACTTACTAACACTTATCAGAACTAATGACCATAGCAGTTTAAATGCGAGATAAATTTCTGCCATTGTGTGGGATGATGTGCCTGGGCTTGCCTTTACCTCAATTGTAAACCCCTGCGATTCTTTTTCTAGGAGCCCGCTAGATGGGATCCGGGCAATATTCGAGAACTCCCTATAAGG